ACATACATCCTGCGTAAATGCAAGCTGCTTTGTTTTGCTATATTTACAACGGACGTTGGAAAGTATAACGACGCATACATGGAAATCTTTCTGCAAACTTTTTTATACATATCTTATACGTATCTTCCCCAGTTTCTAAATTCAATTACAAAAGTACAAGTTGTGGAACTTTTGTATCAGGTACATGTTTGCTCCGATTTGCAGCTCGAGATGTCAACCTTCATATTTTTCACCGTGTTCATCGTATATTGAACAATGTCCCGAATCCATGTTGCGCGTACTTTTATCGTGTAAGAGCGCTCGTAATTTTGCGCGACCAATCCAACATAAACCTTGCAGAAAGAAGTCGAGTATTCTGTGGCTGAAATTTCCAACTATGGCATCCCCTTAAACCGACGAAAGTCGCATTGAACTGATTCACTGACCTGTCATCAATCTGTCATTATATTTATGTATTTGACGTTGCGGCATTGCCATGCCACTTGATGGTCGCACTCGAGCTCCAAAAACCGCGAGTTCTCGAGGAACAAGCGAGTCGTTCGAAAAGAATTCCGACACAGACACACACGCCTGCCGAATATCTTTGTGTCACTTTATGATCGTATTATAGTTTCGTATTCGTTAAAGACCCGAGATCATCGTCTGATTCGACCGAGTACGCAATTGAGCGTCTCCTGCGTTATAAATAAGAGTAGATAATTAAATAAATGTATTTGAATATTCTAAACTATATATATATTTGTAATTATATACATATATACACATATACATATATACTAGGTGCGCAACTAAGTTTCCGGCTCTTTTTGATCAAAGAGAAATGAAAAATTTCATGAAAAATACAAAAAATGGTTTATTCAAAGTATCGTCCCTCACTAGCTACACATTTTTGCCATCTCTCTGGCAATACATGAATACCGCGACGATAAAACGACGCGTCTTTGGACCGAAACCATTCATCCAACCAATTTTGTACTTCTTCGAAATTGGCTAAGTGTTGCCCAGCCAAGCCATGCGTCATCGACCGGAACAAGTGATAATCGGAAGGAGCCAAGTCTGGCGAATACGGCGGGTGCGGTAGCAGATCCCATTTCAGCGTTTTGATGCTGTCCTGGACGATGGAAGTGCGATGACACGAAGCGTCGTCGTGCTGCAATATCACTCGTTCGTGTCTCGTGTCCCATTCTGACCGTTTTTCGAGCAATGCATAGTTCAAATTGATCAGTTGTTGTCGGTAGCGATGCTGATTGACAGTTTCGCCCGGTTTCAGCAGCTCATAGTACACGATTCCTTTCTGGTCCCACCAAACGTAGAGCATTGTCTTCTTTCCGAAGCGATTTTGCCGTGCCGTCGATGTTGATGCTTCGCCAGATGAAAGCCACGATTTTTTGCGTTTGGGATTCTCGAAATATATCCACTTCTCATGGCCAATAACAATTCGATGCAGGAAACTCTTTCTTTCATGCCGCAAAAGCAAAATTTCGGAAGTGGCTCTTCGATTTTCCATCTGTCTCTCAGTCAACTCATGCGGCACCCATTTTCCTTCCTTTTGAATTTTTCCCATGGCAAATGGTTAACGTTTAGAAATACCTTGACGAGTCATGTTTAATGCCTTCGCAAGTTGATCTTGTGTTTGCGTATCATCTTCATCCAATAACGCTTGCAGATCAGCGTCCTCAATTGTTTTTGGTCTTCCGGAGCGTTCCTTGTCCTCAGTGTCGAAATCGCCACTTCTGAAGCGTTTAAACCAATCCTCACAGGTAGTTTTCGATGGTGCATGTAAGCCTCCTCAAGTAAACGACGTGCTTCAGCTGCACTTTTTTCAAGTTAAAGCAGAAAAGCAAAGCCTCCCGCAAATGCTGTTTATGTGGCACAAAACTCGACATCTTCGTTGCTAGAAAAAATATTTTTGCGTTGCGATTTTGTGTTGGTGTTACGACTGGTTATTGTTAACAGATGTCCAAGCTACAGTGAAACCCGGAAACTTAGTTGCGCACCTAGTATAAACACACATATATGTACTAGATTCGCAACTAAGTTTCCGGGTTTCATGGATGGCGCTAACGACACATGTAGTCGACATACATGTCTGAAGTTGTGTTTTTTTTATAGCCTGGACATCTGTTAACAATAACCAGTCGTAATACCAACACATATCGCAACGCAAAAATATTTTTTCTAACAACGAAGATGTCGAGTTTTGTGCCAAATAAACAGCACTTGCGGGAAGTTTTGCTTTTCTGCTTTAACTTGAAAAAAAGTGCAGCTGAAGCACGTCGTTTGCTTGAGGAGGCCTACGGCGAACATGCACCATCGAAAACTACCTGTGAAGATTGGTTTAAACGCTTCAGAAGTGGCGATTTCGACACTGAGGACAAGGAGCGTTCCGGAAGACCAAAAACAAGCCGGAGTACGCCGATCTGCAAGCGTTATTGGATGAAGATGATGCCCAAATACAAGATCAACTTGCGGAGGCATTAAACATGACTCGTCAAGGTATTTCTAAACGTTTACCATTTGCCAAGGGAAAAATTCAAAAGGAAGGAAAATGGGTGCCGCATGAGTTGACTGAGAGATAGATAGAAAATCAAAGAGCCACTTCCGAAATTTTGTTTTTGCGGCATGAAAGAAAGAGTTTCCTGCATCGAATTGCTACTGGTGATGAGAAGTGGATATATTTTGGGAATCCCAAACGCAAAAAATCGTGGTTTTCACCTGGCGAAGCATCAACATCAACGGCACGGCAAAATCGCTTCGGAAAGAAGACAATACTCTGTATTTGGTGGGACCAGAAAGGAATCGTGTACTATGAGCTGCTGAAACTGAGCGAAACTGTCAATAAGCATCGCTACCGACAACAACTGATCAATTTGAACTATGCATTGCTCGAAAAACGGCCAGAATGGAACGAGTGATATTGCAGCACGACAACGCTCTGTGCCATCGCACTTCCATCGTCCAGGACACCATCAAAACGCTGAAATGGGATCTGCTACCGCACCCGCCGTATTCGCCAGACTTGGCCCCTTCCGATTATCACTTGTTCCGGTCGATGACGCATGGCTTGACTGAGCAATACTTAGCCAATTTCGAAGAAGTGCAAAATTGGTTGGATGAATGGTTTCGGTCCAAAGACGCGTCGTTTTATCGTCGCGGTATTGCCAGAGAGATGGCAAAAATGTGTAGCTAGCGAGGGACGATACTTTGAATAAATCATTTTTTGTATTTCTCTTGAAATTTTCCATTTCTCATTGATAAAAAGACCCGGAAACTTAGTTGCGCACCTAGTATATATATATATATATATATATATATGTATGCATATATATAAGATCCATTTTCAGACATATATATTTATATACATGTATATATATAAATGTATGAATGTACATATATATATATATATATGTACATTCATACATATGTACATTCATGTATATATATATATATATATGTACACCATATATATATATATATATGTATGTATGTATGTATATATATACATATACACATTCATATATAAACACACGCATACTAATACACCTATCTAATAACAACCGATCGAGGCGTTTGGACATATGACTTCCTGCGTAGATGTCAATGACGCACAAGTGCGCGTTCGGCATAGAAATTCGAGCATAAATCCAAACGTCGAAGCAATATGTATCCGTTTGTTTAAAGATAATTGGATTTAAACAAATAAAGATTAACATTCAATATAAATATATAAACGAATCTTCTTATCGTGCAGACCAAGAGGGAAACAGTGTTAAAAGGAAACAGCTATAATTAAAAGGAGAAGGGAAAGGTTTAGGGACACCGCGATTAATCGCATGACGAATCCCGCATACAAGTTCACTAATTATGTCGATGAGTGTCGTTCATGCGTATCCGTACATTTAATATCATTACGACATGATTAGCGAGGTCGTCGCGGCGTAAGCTCAAACAAGTCGTCCCGTTTTCTCTCTCTTTCTCTCTTTCATACACACACATACGCGCGTGCATGTGCGCACGTACACGCACACACGTACATGTACACGCATTCTCTCTCTCTCTCTCTCTCTCGCGCGCACACGCGCGCGACTCGCTCTTTATTTCGCAAAAAGAATTTGTTCATGGGAAGAGGATTTTTATTCCTACTCGGCGATGTGGATCAGAAGAAGGGGTGGAGAAATATTCCGGTGAAGCCGGAACTCCGCACCTCCGACTTGTTGCGCTTAGAAACTGCAGTCTTACCAGTCTCGCCGACAGATGCTTGACCCAGCACTTTTCACGAGACGAAGAGTGCGGAGCGAACAGCGGTTCAACATCCAACTGGCAAACCGCGCGAAACAGGATTCGCTCGGCAGGAATTTCGGCGATCGCGTGCGATTTAGGTCGGAAGCACATAAAAAAAATAAGCGAGGGAACTGAAACACTAAACAAATCAATCGCAGTCGATTGTTCATTTTCGCGGCTCGGGAACAGTCGATTGTGACTGGACATCTTCCGGTTACGCATCGTCCCGAAAAATCAACATCTCGAAATTCAGAAACCGCGGCAGTTTCACCAAATGCCGTAATATCGAAATTTTGTGTGCCGTTTGTACTGCGAGACAACTGGACGATATATCTCGATAAAATCATATTTCACCTCGGAGATCGTCTCGGTGTATTATGACTTTTCAAGAAATATCATAACTTGCTATAAATAATTAATATCATACACATTCATATTTATTATCGTCATACTTGGTAAATCTCGATGTATTTCTTCTTAGGACTTAGGACAATGCAAGCCGATCAATTTTCCTGCTGTTTTTAAATCGCACTTTGCTCATATTTTTCTACGTGCTTCTGGCCGCTTTAGCGTACGGCTTGCCGCGGCTCGACCGGAGTAGTCAAGCTCGACTCTTCAGCAACTCCCGAGCTGACTCATAAAATCGAAGGTTGAATGGTAAAGCCGAATGGAAAACGGAAAACGAAACGCTGACAAAAGTACATCTTGAATCATCCACATCGCGCGACAAAAGAGATATTGTATTTGCAAGAACGAATAAATTACAACTTGACAAAACGTTCAACACATCTGCATGTATAATTCTCTCTCCTTCTGTAAACAAACCTGCTCGAGATGAACGATACAACGTCTCTAACTTCCCGAATCACAAGGTTGAGCGTCAGTCGTGAAAAACGCAAGTCGCTACATTACGGAGCCGTTACGTTCGAGAGTATGACACATTTGTTGGACCACGCGGATACGGGCGCGGAAAAGAAAGAAGAAAAAGATGCGTAACAGCACGACGAGATGAGAACACGGTCTGTGCTCGTGTGTATGTATACATGTGTGAGTGTCTTATCCTTTCCGAGAAAGCTACTTTTGTATAACAGCTAATTTTATTATTACCACTTCTCGCGCCTAACGAATCTAAGGTCGAATCGTGTTTACAACTGTATCCCCGTTAAATCCCCGATCCCGCTCAACTCCCCGTTGAAAATCTGCATTTCCAATAATCTCCATCGCGTCGTCGTACACAGGCTGCGTGACACAGCGCGCGCGCGCGCGCGCATAAAACTCGTGAAAAAACCGTCAACTCGCAAACAGCCATTTAATGTCTATCTAGTCAAAGCAAGTAAACAACTAGGTGCGCGTGATACGGTCGAATAAATTCTTCAAGCGAAGTCTCAAGATATCTGATTCTGTCGGCAATCTCTTGGCAACAACGGCACAGATACGTGATGTTGCATGGGAAAAAGAGTTTTGTTCAATTAATGAACGAATCAAGCGCAAGCTCGGCCGGAAGAAACGAAATTTCTGGTTCTTAAAAGACTGAATTCGGTGGAGTTAAGAATCGGAAATTCCGTCTCCTTCGAGCGGAAAATGCGTCTCGTTCATCGCGTTAATTCAACTAAATTTTTCTCTTTTCCTTCGCGCGCACTGGAGCGCAATCCGGGATTTTCGACGATCGATATATTACTTCTGTTATTCTTTTTATTTATTATTGTCTAATAAATAAGACGAAAGTATCAACGCCGAGATATCCAACTCTGAATGTTGTTATTACTTTAAGTTCACAAATTGAAGTTCACGAAATTGAATGTATCAGCTCTTAACACACTGGGGATAAGATACTTGGTTGAATGAAAGGATTTTCTGGAGAAACATGAGCGACACCGAAATCTCGGTGGAGGTTCCCAGAATTCTCAGTCTGAATCGTCCGATTTCTGCTTAGTTTAAATAGTATTCTGCCACTTCCAATCGGAATTTCCGAATCGTCCGTACTTCGCCAGAAAATTCGCTCATTCAACCACACGTTTCTTTCCATAGCACGTGTGTATATATATATTCAATATATGTATATAGGTTCCATGTTATTAATTAATTTAAAAAGTTAAAAATTAATTAAATATTCGAACCTAGAGACCGAAACAATAAGAACGTCCAGAGTTAATCACACGTTGACGCAAGTGCTCCTTTACCTTTTAAATAATATCTCGAGCATCGTCGTGGTCGCGTTCGCAAGGACACGACGACACATCCCGACACACGGGATCGATAGAATACACTCTAATATACAGGACTTTTCAGTTAAATTTCCAGAGTTCTATCGCGAAATCGCCCGCTCGCGTCGCGCCAGGCTGCCTGCAGAAACCAAGCCTCACCTCCTCGTCCGTCGGCTACGAGGTCGGGGAAAACGCGGCTCTCGTGTCGACGACGTCCAAGGATGAGGAGGCGAATTTGTCCTCACGGAGTTGCCCATGGAGATCGAACGTCGGGCACGATGTAGGCATCACATGAAGATCGCGTTAATTTACATTCAACGTTTGCACCGTCGTGCTATACATTACAGTTTGATCCGTGATGACGAGGTAATCGTCCCGCTGAATCCCCGACCCCCGAATTAGAGAGGCGCTCCGACAACGAGGGGAGGTCGCTGGAAGCAGTCGTCGCGGACACGACGATGTTCTCCTCTCTCTGAGACCGCCGTGAGTCGGCCGCGCGCGAGGAAGCGCTTAATGTTCCTTCGCCTCCGCGGCGGACGACGTATCCTTGCGCATCGCCTCAGCGGTCTCGATCACCTCGAAGGCTTCGGAGGATGAGGTGGTGGTCTCGGTAGCGGCCGAGGTCGTGGCTCCCGAGGCGGATGGGACCGTTGCTGTCTTCATGGCGGAAGTCGACGTGGCCGACACTGCAGTTCAATGTTAAGATATCGATCTTTACTATGAAATGTACTGGAAATTTCCCGGCTACGCCGGGACATCGTGATTGTTCTGTGACGCTCGTCGCGCGCGTGCGCGCGCGCGCACGAGAGAGACAGAGAGAAGAAAAGAATAGAAGAACAGTGAGTGCGCATTTGATTAAAAGAAAATAAACCAATAAATAAAAAATGGAGCTGCAACGCGAGAATAAAACGCGCGAGTGCGGTGCGTGCAACCTCGAGCTGAAACCACAGCTGTAAACAAAACTGGCTACCGATGTATCGGCCATATGCGCGCGCGCACCTCGTAAAACGATTATCGATTATCCGAGTCGCACGAGCGACCGAAGCGAGAGGTGAAATTAAAAGCCCAGAAAAATAATCAGTGCTAGTTGGATCGCTCGAATTGAAACACGATATCGCGCGGTATCGCGTGCCACCCCCGTGTAGGCGTTCCGATGCGAGACGAGTGTCAGTGACACAGGATCTACAAAGTGCTCATTCAAAACTCCAAACCGGTGAAACGAGCGCGCGCCTCGCGAGCCGACACAGCGCGCGGAACGTGTAATCATGGAATTAGCGACGATTACAAACGCGGGCGCGCGCGATCGCGGACAAAAATCGGCGAGGAGCTTATTCCTCGAGAACCTCTCTTCCCCTCCTTTTCTTGCACCCGATGAACGTTCGCGTATGTACGCTCTTTCCTTTCTTGTTTCTATAACGCTCGTGCGATATATATATATATATATATATATACATTGCTCAAAAGAATTATAACATAGATAATTTATTGCCGAAAATTGGCCAACTTTGGACTGGCGATTACTTCGCGAAAAATTATTGTAGACTAATGATTTTTTTTTCAAAATGAAGCTTGAAGTCTCTACTTTAAGAATGTATCTCCATTTTTTGCATAGTAATTATTGACTGTGGAAGTGATAAACCACGGGGTTCTTATCTCTTCTATCACGGACATACACACACATGCACATTAGCCCGAAGGCTAAAAACAATGATCTTTTTGAAGGGCTGTTTGCGAAAACGAGGCAGCGACTCCATTTTTTTCAAACTGAAGGGGAAGATTTGAACTTTATGACGATGCAAACGGTGTCTCCGAAAAAAAATTGTCCACGTCCGTGCATTCCGTCAAACTTTGCAATTTTCAGTATATCAAACATGCCTCCAGATATCAGGGGTTACAGGAGTAGGAGTGCATCGCATGTAAGAAATGGAGATACATTCTTAAAGTAGAGACTTCAAGCTTTAAGCTTTGAAAAAAAATCATTAGTCTACAATAATTTTTCGCGAAATAATCGCCAGTCGGAGTTGGCCAATTTTCACTAATAAATTATCTATGCCATAATTCTTTTGAGCAATGTATATATAGGTATATATATATATATATATCTACACACACAAATTAAAGTTAATTAAAATTTATATATATATATACAAGTTATCAATTAAAAAAGCTTCTAGATGTGGTCATTTTCATATGTATATGTATGTAGGGTGTCCGAGATCTTTTGGAAACGAAAAATTGTGAAGATTAACCAGATCAAACTGAGAAGAAAAGTCAAGTACCATTTTGCAAAAATCGCAATAGTTATTAATGATTGAAGATGACCATTAGAGGTTCTTTTAATTGATAACTGGAAAATTTGTGTATTATGGTAAAAAAAATAAAATGGTAAAGGACTTTTTTTTTCGGAATGACCTAATCTACACTATTTTGCAAATAAGTACGCAAATTTATTAATTGAAAAAGCCTCTGAATATGGTCATTTTCAGTCATTAATAATAACTACTACGATTTTTACAAAATGGTACTTGACTTAAGATTGACTTATGGTAAGATGACTTTTCGTCTCAGTTTAATCTGATTAACCTTCACAATTTTTCGTTTCAAAAACATCCCAGACACCCTGCATATATATATATATAGAAAGAAAGAGGGGGGAGAGGGGAGAGTTCCAACGTACTTCGTAAAATTAAACTCGCTCGTAAAGGCAAATGTCGCGAAGAGAAAAAGGGTTTATTTCTCCGTTATTCGCTGAAAGTTACGATTGGTGTAGCGTATATACCATGCGGTATATAATCAAACCGTATCGCAATAATATAACCCGTTAATTCGCTCTTCTACGCATACCGTCGCAGCAAAAAAAAAAAAAGAATTACACGTGATATCGAAGCTGGATCAGATATCCCGATATCCAACGGCACGCTTAACTATTTAAAAGTGGCGCAAATTTTCGCTTTTCCGTGCTCTCTCTTTTTCCTTCCTACTCTTTCTGTACACGTATGAAAGTTAAATGAAAATATAACTTCAAATAGAGATTTTATTGACACTTTTAAGTTGATTAATGTGCAAAGTAATTGGGATCATCCCGTGGCCCATTCGTGCTTAATTTTTGAAATGTGGAGCAAAATTTCGCTTACACGTGCTCTCTTTCTCCATTTCTTTTTCTGTGTACATGAAAGTTACATGGAAACATAAATCTGTCGAAAGGATTCCCGCTTGATCGTACTAGGAAACAATCCGTAGCTTCAATTAAATTCGTTGATTAAAATGAAAAGCAATCAGGACCATCTGTACTTTATCTTTTAAACGTGAAATGAAATATCCTTTATTTGCGCTCTCTCTTTCTCTTTCTCTCTCTTTCTCTCCCCCTCTCCTTCTTTTTCTCTGTACGTATAAAAGTTACGAGAAAATATAATTTTTTCAAATATACAAACTTCGACTCAATCGCATTTGAAGACAGTGTATGGCTGCTTGACATGTAGTCACATGATTATTAATTAACTTGAGAACTAATTAAGACCACCTCGTGACCTTACGCGTTTAACGAACGAGCGCGCGCGTCGCCATAACGAACGAAAGAAAAGACGACGGTGAGAAACATTCAAGCCCAGCGTGCGAAATGATCTTCACCAAATGACTTATCGCTAAATGAGACTAACAGGAAAATACAAGTATGCCTCCGACGTACCTTTGTTGGAGTCGTCTCGACGATCGACCGTCGTCGTCGTCGTTGTCGTCGTCGTCGTCGTCGTCGTCATCGCCGTCGTCGTCGTCGTCATCGTTGTCGTCGTCGTCGTCATCGTCGTCGCGAATATTTGCTCGCCATTGGCATTCGCGCGTTGCTCCTGCGGGCTGTCGGGCTCCGCATCGAGCTGAGAAAGCTCGGTGATGTAATTCTGCTGCGTCTGCTCCATCGTAGGCGTCGAAGGATTCGGACTCGGCGAAGGAGTCGTGGTCGGCGACGGCCCCGGCGTGGTCGGAGCCGTGCTGGGCGTCGCTGGCTGCGCCGTCGGCTGAGCGTGATTTCGAAACAGTAGCTGCTGCAGCTGCGCTTGCTGCAGAATCACCGGCAGCTCGTAGTGATGGAAGAAGTAGAGCATCGAGTGCTGCAATGAGAGAAGAATAAACACGTCGACAAGATTCTCGACTGGAGGAGTCAGGTTTATCCCGCGAGCTTGCTCGAACGACCAGCGCTGGACGACTTACATGAGAAGAAAAAGAATGTGCGAAATGCGCAATTCGAGCGGGAAATGTGGAATGAATATTAAATAATATACAGGGTGTCTTAAAAATATCGGAACCCCCGGATTGCAGGGTCAAGTTTTCATGAAAAACTTTAAGTACCAAAGTTGTAGAAAATCGAGTAACGGACTTGATGGTGACTTTGAATTTGACTTTAGCCATGACCTTCAAGGTCATTTGGATCAACTTGCGTGTTTTAAATCGGAACTCTTATTTTTTATTACACTGTTTTCTTCTACCAATTAATTTGAACAACTTTTTTCTAAAACATTTTTTTATTTACCTAGTATTTTTTGAGATATTTGAGGAAAACTTGGTAACTTTTTTAATATTTAACTTACGATATCTCGCTAACTATTTGTCGGAAGAAAAAGTGGTTCTAGACTTTCTTGCTTTATTTAGTCTTTGTTACCGCGCATATTCTCCAGACATTGCTCCATCCGATTATCACTTGTTGCGGTCGATGTAACATGCTCTAGACGATACACACTTTCATAATTTCGAACAAGTGCAAAAATTATTGAAAATTGGATCAATTTCAAAGAAGAATCTTTTCATCGCTGCGGAATCCATCAGCCAGAAAGATGGGAAAAAGTTATAGAAAACGAAGAAAAATATTTTAATCAAGATATTCGTTCATTATCTTGTTTAAGTAAATCAGTGTTCGAGAAAAAGAACTCTCAAGACTAAATCACACTGCTAATATTACAATACTCTTCTCTCAAAAGAGAGAATAAACTCTTTCTCTCGAGTCTCCGTAACAACGAGCTTTTTGTCAAATTTGCGATGAATATATCTGAAGAGACGGCCATGAAAAAGAACGTGTTCTCTTTCGGGCCCAAGGATTCACCTGGCGAGAATAGGTACATCCCTCCCACCCCCTTCCGCCATTGTGGCTCCCGTGGCCCTCTGTGCGCTCGCTCGTTTCGCGCGCGCATATGCGCGCCTCTCTAGCTGCCGCGACTAGCAAATTTATATGGAAATTCGGCAAATTCGTTCTATATCAGCTATACGCGCGCTCTTTCTCCGCAAGCGCTTCGAACGCCTGTCTCAGTTGATCCCTATCGACCGCGCAGGACGCCCACCGATCGCAATAACACACGGCTTTCGCGCGTCCTCACGAGCCGCGGAGCGACGGAGCTGCGCGCGATTTTCCGTTTTCCCTGATTGACTCGTCACGCGCGACTCGGCCCTCGATTTAGCGAGTCGCACTCTCGGAAGAGAATCGGACTCGGCCGCTGTAACCAGCCGCCGACCGCGTCGGACACAACGCGGCACGCGGGAACGAGAGGAGGATCTACATTTAAAGATTGAAAAATCCAACGCGAATAAACGACGGCGCAGGGCGGCGGTGGGGAAGAAGGGGAAGCCTGGATATGGAAAATAGATATATCTCGAGAGTCTCCGGGCACCTGTCGACAACGCGAAGGAAATGGTATTCCCGGTGATTCGTCGGCGAGAGCGGAACGATTCCGCGCCGTTTGAGAAAAAGAAGTGACTCACGAGCGGGGGGGGAGAGGAGGCGGAAAGATTCGCGAGGAGCAGCACGGATCTCCCGAGGTCGGGAGACGACGAGGAATGACGCGGGGGGTTGCAACGGACGGACGCCACGGGGGTGGAAAGAACGACCGACGGAAGCGCGACGGCGGCGGACGCGAGGGTGAAGGTGGACGGAATGGCGGTGGAGGAGGAAGAAAGGGAGAGAGGAAATATCGGGTTTTCGTTTGGCGGATGATCAACGCCAATGACACCGATATCGAATCGGCGTATAATCACGCCGCGAGGCTAATCGGTTGGACTCTGACCTACAGCAACGGTCGGCGAGAGAGAGAGAGAGAGAGAGAGAGAGAGAGAGAGAGAGAGAGGGGTGGGGGGAGGGGAGAGGATGAGCTTTGCCATCCACGGGAATCAAAACGATTCTCGCCGACGTGCCCCCGGGCCTTTCGAATTTTGCCGCCGTCGCCATCGCCACCGCCACCGCGCGCGCGGTATTCGTAAACTCGTTGCCGGGAAATAATTGTCGCTCGTTAAACGGTCGATCGTGTTAACGAACCTGTAACCCGGTTGTCAGCCGGAGACTGCCATCAGAGCGACGTGATGAGTAAAGCCGTTTATTTACGGGACCGCACACGCGCAATCTCGACCGTTCGGCGTCCTGAAATCACGTCTCGCTCGCAATCGGCCGATTGACCGACTGCCGCGTCGAATTCAACTTTCTAAGGCTAATTAGTCATTGCTTGAATATGCACACCAGACGAGTCTCAAGCAACAGCTGTTGACACGAGCCTAAGTGTCGCATTGATAGCCGTTACTGGAGACTCGTTTCAAGTGCGATGCACTCGGATTTTAATTTAGAAGCAGATCGAAGTTCTTCGGTCGAGTCATGCGATATTTGTGTCCTTATATTTCACCCAGAAAAAAAGTAATTTCAGAACAAGCGAGATAAGAGGAAATCCTCTTGCAATAAGAGAAAAACAGAATAATATCTAATAAATTTTAGATGAATGGTTTACTTTAATCGTTTTATCAAAAGAGGAATCCTTTTTTTGTAAAAGGCTTCGCTTGGAATAGGAGATTATGGGAAAGATCACTTTACAAATAGAAAACTTTTTTTGGGTGAATTGTAATCGTGATTCCATTGAAAAGCTCAAATTTAGATTTTAAATATGGATTCAAATAAGTTATCTGAATAAATTACTTGGTATGTCTTGCTTGAATGCATCAGATGTGTTCCTTTTTAATTGAATCGCGTCTCATCTCATGGAGAAACTCCATACCTCTAAATTCACATCTGAGTATGAGACAAGTTTCAAGTATCACGACCATTAACGCGAGTTTAAGAAGCGCGATCCGAGAGGAATCGGAGGAGAATGCGGTCTGCAGGTTTTTCGTTGATTCGCCGGCACGAAGACATCCCACGACGAAAAATTCGGCCGGCTACGCTTCGTCGCGCGGATCTTCTTCGCGATTTCGGCCGATTCGCGCGATTCGGCCGATAGACAATCGACAGCGCCGCGATACAAAACTTGCGCCGTGCAATCGCGGGGACAACATAATGGCGTAATCTTTTCTCTCCAGCGTATATAACGACGTGCAGCGACGTGATGCATTTACACCTTTTATCGAGTGAATTAACCGCTCCATTAAACTCTAATGGTATTCAGTTTTTACACGTGAGATATACACAGTACATATCGAACGTAGTTATTAACGGCAGCGGCTACCTATTGTAACGCCATTATAATAATACCTGTTAATACCGGCCATCGCGATCATCTAATGAGAAGTTATTGCGTTATCAAAGTACGCCCTCCAATCAGATTACCCGGCCGGTATTACTGGCATAGCAGTAAATTTGTTTCTGAAATTCCGGCCGGCTTATGTTCTATTATACACGCGCGATCGTCCCGCGATAGTTTTGCGAAAAAAACCGATTGATGTCTCGGTCGTTCGAGTCGATTACTCGAAAGGCGATGACGGCATTCACGACATCGCGATTGAAGGTGCTGCTCCCGCCTGTCTGTCTCACACGCGAAAAACGCAAATATTAAAATGTTCTCGGTAAATAAATCCGTCGCATTCGCGCGAACGAGCGAGCGAGCGACGCGATACGACGAGTTAATTAATTATAAGACGAGGACGTTAATTTACCTCTTCGTATCTTGCAGACGACGACGATGAGAACGCAGACATGTTAAACGGAAGTTTTCGCAAATTTACAAGGCGACATGCAAAATTTAAGGTCGAGATCATCACGACAACGACGACGACGACGGCGACGGTGACGGCGGCGGCGGCGTCGACGTCGACGTCGGCGTCGGCGAACGGTGTGTTCCTAATGGAACACATCCGACGGGAAATGACAATATGTCACGGATACATAACCTGGGTGGGTAGGGGGAGGTGCAGAGGGAGGAAAGCGGCTGGCTGCCTATGTTCTTAATGGAAAGAACGACGAGGCGCGGCCTGCCACGAACGCGAACGAGATTCCCGCATTAAAGTATTCTTATGCGCCATTTATATACGGGAAGGCAAGAAGCCGCATTAAATTATTTCCATCGATCGAGCTGTCAGGAGCATTGTCCCGTTTGCGTTTACGTAACTTAAGTTTGAGCGATGGCGGCTCTAGGCTATCCAGCCAGAGCGACCACGGCCGTGGCACGGCTCGTTCTTCGTCCCGCTCTACCGTTGCTGTCAATAACAGAGCGCACCCGACAGTGGCCAATGGGATCGCATGCAAAATATTGCGCTCCCATTTTCCCCTCATCTATCTCGACGCTATTTCTACAAAGACGGAAGTACAGGGCGCGAGCGTTACCGCGAGTCTGTGACGCGCGTCCGTTTCTTACATGGATTTGCTTTGCGGTTCGATCGCGAGAGAGAAAGAGAGGGAGGAAGATATTTTTTACAGCTCAATATAAAAAAAATATCATTCCACTGTTCAAACGATTACCCAGTTTGCTTCGCTTTTTTCAAGCAATGGTTACCCTCAACAAAGAATATTTTTTGATAAATGCGTTAAGATATGATCATCATAAAAATTGTACAAAAAAATCATTACTGCGTACACAAAGAATGTATTTTCGTTTCAAGGGTATCAAGGAACTTATTAATTCTGTGCAGAAAGCAAACCGAATTGTTTGCCGAATTGTTTTAATTTAATATTCCTGATCAAAATATCAAACTTATCAAGAATTAAGAACGTATTTTGTGTCAATTTGATATCTTAACGACAAACTTATATAAAACTTATATAAAATGTATATTTTATTTATATAAAATGCTTATACTTATATAAAATGTATAAAAAATGCCGGGACGGCGAAATTCTCGAAAACTAAGTATTTTAGAAAAAAATGTTTCAGACAAAAGTTGTATAGTTTCTATACTACTTTCGAGATATTCATTAATCATTACTTTTCTTAAAAAGAAACCCCAATTTTTCTTATTACATCATCTTTTTCTACCAATTAATTTGGACAACTTTTGTCTGAAACATGTTTTCATTTGCCTAATATCTTTTGAGATATTTCAAAAAAATTCGATAATTTGTTAACAATATTTAGCTTGCGATATCTCGTTAGCTGTTTGTCGAAAAAAAAAATAGTACTAAACCTTTTTACTCCATTTGATCTGAAAAATATTGTTACAATAGCGCTCTGATTTTTGTCAACTTATCGACCTTTGGAAATTTCAAAAATCGTCAAATCAACGACGAGAATTTGCATAAATATACGAAATCATGAATTATTGCAACAAAGAGGTAGACTAGATACTTCCATGAGATAGAAAATTAGATTATGTGAGATAGATAAGAGGGAGAGAAACAGAGAAAGAAAGAAAGAAAGGAAGGGAGAAACGATCATATCTCGTGCGTAGCGCACGATCGATGTCGTTTTATTTTATAAAGCTGGCAAACGCAATCACATCGGCTAGTGCGTGTGGTGTGTATCGGCGCTTTGGGGCGATGTAACGCAAAGCTTTTCGAACGCAAACCGCGAATACTTCTTGCCGCGGCGCTTTTCAGTTATTTTCCCGTTTCCCTGGTACGCGTATCCCGCGCTAAGTTAATTCACCAAAGCTTTGTGTAATATGGATATTAATTAATCCAATGCGAGAACAACGACGGGATTGATGCTGCCGACGTGTTTGATCTACCGAACCCGCGCCGCACGGTAATTGTAATCTAAATCTCCGCTATTCTCCCTTCAAACGCGCCGACGGATTCGAATTTATTATCGTAACGTGAAAAAAAGGCAGGGACAACATTGTAAAATTCGATTCCTCTTGGTCGGCGGGCGGATGAGTCTCACTCTCGTTTTTGCGCGGATATTTATCATTCAGTACGGATAAATGCGAACTGCGAGAAAAAGTGAAAAAGATGAAGATGAAACGTTTGTTTGGCGGGTACTAATGACATATTTGCATGCGTCAATATACATGTTACTGCACAGAGAAAAATTTTGCCCAAACGAGAAAATATATTTTCGTATAATCGTAGTTTCCATTTTTATGAAAAAAGAACGATTATTTGTTTCATTTAAATAAAAAATCTAAATTTAAGCAAATGTGTTGTTAATATTCGTCGAATAAATATTTCAAGATATTTCTCCTAATAGTGTTGTAAAAGATGACGGCTTATCAAGCAGTTTGACAAACGTACCGATTATATTACAAATATATCACGAGGAGAAATTCCGTCTAATTGAATTTTCTATTGCCTGGGAACTGAACGAAAACTCGGTTGTAGAAATAGAAAGATTCCTGTAGAGCGTCTCTTCTACTCAGTCAATTGTTCTCAATTATCTCAGCCGAGTTTTAACTTTGAATTGGAATCGCGTCTCCCAGACGTCCTACAATTTACGAGCCAAAATCGCTAAGCTCGAGAACGTCAATCAAATGCCAATGTAAGCGGTTAATGCGGCCGAATATCTAAACGAACTATTCGGTCGCGACAAAGACATCGTCTCTCGTTGCTGAGATTTCGTCTGGTACCCTTTCAATTATACAAATGCGAGATCTTGATTTTTCCATGTGTACCTGAAGAAATTCACGATACTTACAGGAGAGAAACAATTTCGTTATATAGTGTAACTGAATTTTCCGTTATCAGGTAAGAAATCAGGTAAGAAATCAGGTAGAAAATTCAGTTATATAAACAGAAAGATACCTGTAGGAAGCTTTTAATTATTTTAGTCAATTATTTCCAGTTATCCTGATGGGATTTGAATGCAGGCGAATGCTTTCAGTCATACTGAGGTGAATGTTACAATTAGTGATCGAATAACCTCACCGCGAAAACAAATTAACAAATTAATAAAACGCTCTCTCTTAAGCTAAATACACAAAGTTCATTTTGTTGGGAAGCTTGAACATCTCGAGTTTTAATTGCGTTATAATACTTTTTTAATTTATGGAAAGATTTTAATTCACACACATTTTCTCAAAAATAACCAAATACCGTTTAATAACACAAAAATTTAAATTTGTTTTATTTGACAACTTAATCATATCATAATATCATTGACAACTTAATTTCGAAAAAGTCAGCGACAGACTCGTAAAAAATATGATGTCCCGGCGTTTACCGTAACCCTTTTAATGTTTTTCTCAAAAATTCGCTACAACTGGTAGTATATAAAATTTATAGCAACAATAGACGTTTAAAGCAAACACAGACCCCATGAATTTATTACGGAGAGGGCATGCAATTGTCACAAATCAGCACATCTCTCCGCCTTATCAGAGACACCATTTCTCGGCCGAATTTTCGTCACTCACACGAACCGAGATTTTCCTTGGCAAGACAGAAAAAAAGCAGAGTCCACTTGCAGCCGCGATCTCGAAGTCACGAGGCTCAACTATTTGAGAAGCGCTATCTCCGCTCTCCGCCTCACAGGCCGGACATATTTGTCCTGCCGGTGCGCTAAAGTGCTCGCAAAGTAGGTCACGGAATATTCGTGATCAATGAAGCCCGGCTTCAATGCGAAAGAGCAATTTTTTTTCTCGGCGAAACTTTTCTATTCCCGTGGGAGTTTTTATCGTGAGGAAGACGATTATTTCCGCGATCCCGCGACGGCGCGCGCGCCACTTTAATCCCAAAATACGCCGCATAAATACTCGCGCGCGCTCGCTCACTCGCCCGCTCGCTCACTCGTTCGCGCTCCGCCGGCGTACGCGCGGAAATTTATCCCCCGACTGCATTCTTCGTGCACTCTCATCGATTGCGCTCGTGTTGCGAGAGGCGCGCGTGTCCGCGGACGTCCCGCGCGAGCCGCGCGAGCTTCGACGATGTAACGCCGATGAATAATATATCAGCCCATCCGCTCGCACGCGCTTAGCGCCCAGGTGTCAGCTGCGTAGCTGCGTTGCACGACGGCGGAATATTCGGCTTTTTACGACCGTGGCGACTCACCTGTATGAAGAGCCAAGACGTGATGAGCGCCAGGCTGCTGTACTGTCCGTTGAATCGGTAATGGTACGCGTAAAAGGAGAAGTGATACAAGTAGAAGAATCTGAAACAGAAACGGCGCGTCTTGTTAGTAAATCGCCGTCTGCAGCCGTCGAGCCGGAAAATTCGCGGCGAAGCTGTTTTACTGCAGTTCGAGGTGTATAACTTGGTAATAAAATACGTATAAATAATATTAAAATAGTAAATCTGTCATCGACCATTTGTCAAAACGGCGATAGTAACGCGAATACGCGAATGAGATGATAATTGCAGATACGTGTCTGGAAATATTGTCTTTCTCATTGCAGTGTGCAACGAGAACTGTAAGAACGTCACATTCGCTGCTTCTTATCAGACTGTCGGCAGGCGATCTATAAAGCTGCTCGAGACCGCAAAGGGTTTCACCCTTTGAGCATCGAGCGATTGTCGAACGACTCTCGGAAAACAAGTGTTACATGCTCATCATCGAAAAGAATAACAGTGCGGCTATTAAATTATACTTTTGTCCTTCCTTCCATCCGAAACCATTGGTGAACAGCTCTTCAGGAGACTCAGCTTTAGCACCTTTAAACTGTACTTTCTTTCGGGACAATGCATGTCCACCATCCTTTTGCTTTACCCGAATAAATCGTCTGATCCGAATCTATTAGGTGTTCCGGTTAATTTTGAGGACTTAATATAGATGGCTATAGCTACAATATCTACTAGAGATATTTTGAAAATTGGCACGCCATTTTAAGGCTTGGACATTTCTATACATAATTTGACACATGGCGTGTGTATCCGTGAACATAAGCACATTTTTTGTGCGATTGAAAATGGAGCGTGGTAAAAAGCATTTTCGACATTTACTGTTTTATTGTTTCGATTCGAAGAAAACGGCTCTCTCTCTCTCTCTCTCTCTCTCTCTCTCTCTCTCTCTCTCTCTCTGCTGAAGCCCATCAATTCATCTCAGAAACTTATTCTGATTTTTTTCCATCGGTTAAAATATGCGAGTATTGATATCGGCGATTTCGACGTGGTGATTTCGATTTGAAAGACAAAGAACGTTCAGGTCAACCAAAAAGGTTTGAAGATGCCGAATTGCAGGCATTATTGGGTGAAAACTCAGCTCAAACGCTTCAACAACTAGCTGAAACATTACATGTTGATAAATCAATCGTTTCAGATCGTTTACACGCAATGGGGAAGATTAAAAAAGAAGACAAATAGGTTCCACATGCATTGTCTAAATTGGCTATTCAAAATCGTTACCATTTGCACTCCATTGCTTTCTCGTCACAAAACGAAGCAGTTCTTGTATCAAATTATAACTGGAGATGAAAAATCATCGACTCCAAAATGCGACATCCACGGAAGTAAGGTTTTATTGTGCATTTAGTGGGACATAAAAGACGTCGTATTTGATGAGTTGCTACATCCGAATCAAACAGTCACTGTTGTACGTTATCAAAAACAATTAATCGATTTGAATCATGCTTTAAACCAAAAACGTCCAGTAATAGCTCTAAGAAAACGCAAAGTGATTTTGTCACACGACAATGTTCGACCGTCGTACGTTGCAAGATAGTTAAGGATACATTATCGGCATTCCAATGGGAGATCCTACCACACGCCGCGTATTCATCAGACTGTGCTTCTTCCGATTACCACTTATTTTAATCTATGCAGCACAGCCTTACTGACCAGCACTTCAAATCATATGAAAAAATACAAAAATGGTTCGAAAGAATTGCTTCGAAGAACGGACATCTTTTATCGCGGAATTCATTTGTTGCCCAAAAAGTAGGAAAAAGTTATGTCTAACGATGGAAAATATTTTTAATAAAATATAATTTAATGTCTCTAAAAAATAAACGCGTTTCTTTTGCAAAAAATCCCTCAACACTAACTAGATAATAATATTTTGGTAAAAATGTACTTCGAAGAATTTTCTTGGTTTTTGGATTTCGATGTTATGACTCTTCAAGGAATTGTCTTATTTCTTTAATTTCGATAAATTTTCGTCGAGGCAATGCATATTTATCAATCCTTCTTGTGCTTCATGACCGGATTTTAATGTTAATCCAGCTATGCAGCAAGACACGTACACAGATCTAGTATTTTAACAAAATGTGTATTTCAAGAGATTCGATATTGCAATTTTTCAGAAGATTGTCGCTTTTTCAATTTCGATGCATTTCTTTCTCTCGGAACGACGCGTGTCCGCTGAGCAATTTTTACAGAAATTTCTCCGGCATGTTTCACAGTATCACCCAAAAGCAAAACGGCGCTCGAAAGGTTAAGGAAACATAAATTCGTCCGGGAAATATAAATCTCGAGAGATCCCTCCGGAATCGATCGCCGTGTCATTGTTATCACGAGCGCGTGCGGTCGCGTCGACTTAATAATAAGCAGTGCATTTAAGCGATCAAGAGGCACGGTAATGCGTCGCGCCTAGTTCAAGCGCAACGAAATTGCGCCCGAACGACGCGAGGCATACCGTGCCTATATTACGCAAAACTGTGAGTTGAAACGAGGTGAGATATTCATCTCTCAGCAGTGGCTAAACCGATCGAGGTTTTTTTAGTCCCAATCGATTCGGCCTTAAAAAATAGAAAGAAAAGTGTCCTTGTGTTTTTTGTGTACGTTGTCTCTAAATATAGATATTTTAAAATAAAGTCCAAATCACGGAAAATTTCGATTCAGTAAGAAAGTAAGAAACGCTAGACCGCAGAAGAGAGGAGATTTGTGCATCTCACTTTTCCGACACCAGAGGCGTTACAAATGCGCTGAAGAAGCAGCGAGTGCGAGTGAGCAAGCGATAGAGAGTAAGAGAGAGAAGAATATTGCTAGAATACAGGAGTAGAAATGTGCCAGAAAGAGAAAGAGAGTGAGAGAGAACGAGAGAGAGAGAGAGAAAGAGAGAGAGAGAGAGAGAGAAGCCAAAACTTTTTGCATTAAATATTTGTATTGCATTGTTATAATAACTAATTTATTATAATAAAAAGTAAAATAACCATAAAACTCAGTGTTCTAGTAAATAATGCAGAATTGTTTTTGAAGTACCGGACTGTGTATCATTGGGAGTTTTCGATACATTTATCTTAAGATTGCAAATCGCTCTCATTGGCAGAGTTGATGTTGAGTAGAGTTTTTCAGTTGATGCTATTGTTTTGTTATATCATTTTTTTGTAGAACAGTTTTGTAGAGTTTTATTTATAGTATTCAATAGAAGAATTTATTGTTAGAGGTATAAGTTTTACTTGTACAAACTTATTACTTGTATAACGAAAATAATAAATTATATTGTCCAAAGATACACGCTCAGGTGCGGTACGATGCACACTAAAAGCGTAAAGATTGCCGTTTATATCATTTCTTTTGTAAAATAGTGTTGTAAAGTTTTATTATAGTTATAAATTTTACTTGTGAAATTTTGTTACATATATAAAAAAAATACATACTGAAAAAAAATAATTTGAAATTTCTAAAAATAACACAATGTTGCGCGTGTACTTGGCGCCTCTTTTTATCTTTTTGTTTAAAAAGGTAAGTGTTGTAGAACGTTACGGACTCTCTGAGACACGTCCCGGCAGGACAAGGTCGTGCGACTTTGAAAACAACATGTTCATAAGTACGCAATTGCCGCGACCGTTTCTATTATTGTTTACGCCGCGGCGGCGGACGGATCGGCGGATCGCCGCGCGTAATAATTTCCGAATTTTCACGCTCGATCATAGTGTATGCGCGCGTGTAACGTGTAATATTTGTGCGTGTGTGTGCGTGCGTGTGTGTGTGTGTGTGTGTATGCGTGACGATCCGGAGCATCTTGAGCAATAGCAGTGTTTTATGGTCTTTAAAGGTAAACTTATATTGGTTAACTTGGTTAAGTTAAAGAAGCTAATTTGTAGTCTCGAGTCTTCATACTCTTAATGCGGGGTGCATTTGTCGCTGTAATACTAATGAGGAAACTCGTTTTTTGTTACAGATTTGCTGGAATTTGCAGCCACGCGATAGCTGCGGTTATCGGGACGCAGTTTCGACGGACGACGATGCCGCACCGGAGGATCCGGTTCGGGCCGAGCAGAGTCGGCTTGAAGGTGAGGTTCATCGATCGTTTCTACATTTCTTCTTGATTTATTGCGATCGAAAACCGAACGATTGGAACAAAAGCCGTTGAATTACAATGGCAAAGGGTCAACGTTTGTATTTGCGCGAGCGCTTCCGCGAATTAAACTCAACCTAATCTAACTTTTAACCTAACGGTTTAACTAACGAAGCTATATTTTTTGTTACAGATCCGCAGCAGAACACGGCTGACTCTGTCTACTGTGTATCGGTGAGTCAGAGAAGAAAAGACATTTTTACGGTGATGGGTGTTTGCAATATCTCGAGAAAATCAATGCGATTTAATTATACTTTTTTCACACGTTGCTCGAAATAATCAGGAGATCGTGTCTTTCAATGACCGTATTACACAACACAGAATCTTTAAGATATGATATATATTTCTCTCCTTTATATTTACTCTGAATCATTAGAAGATACAGATATAAATGCTTTAGTTTGTTATTATATTGAAATCAAGATATGGAATTATTTACTGCGATTCAATCAATATAACTCCTGCTTCGAGTAGTGTATAATGTTAAAATTTGACCAGAATTGCACCATCGTACGTGAAATTCACTATTATTTATCTTATTTGGCTTGATAAATTTTATGTCTGTCGAGTTTATCAATTTTCTACATTTTTCCCGCGTGTCAGAAGCGATAATATTTCATTTGAAATTACCGATAAATTCGGTACGTGCGTTTATTTACATTACAACTTAGTCCTTACGAAACAAGACGTGCGTTTCTTTCGAATTACCGTTCGCGAAACAAAACATTTTCGTTTCTTCTTTCTTGTCTAAACGTCGTAATTTTCATTCACGATTGATTCTACGCGAATCGCGTCTCACGTATACATTTTCGGAACGTTGTAATTTATCGTGTTTACTTCTTTTTGGGATAAAAATCTCATCTCTTGAACGCGTATATGCGCTTCTTTATCTCGCCATTTCTTTTTCTTAAATCCCG